CCCTTAGATTCTTAAATGCCAGTTCAGTTTCTGAGGTATTTTACTCGAAAGCTTGTTTGACGCAATAAGTTCGGATAAGCTTGGTAGCGTCTTATGCAGTCACGTGCAGTCGCTCTTTTTATGTACTTGGCATCGCGTCGCTTGAGATATATATTAGGTGATATATATTAGGTGATATATATATATATATATTAGGAGATATATATTAGGTGTTTAAAAAAAAATGTCCCACATTTTGAGAGCAGGTAGTGCTCGTCAAAATAAGAAGAAAATGTATCCAGTAAACACGGGTCCTAAATCAAATACCTGTTGAGATATGGACTAATCTTTATTGTATACTATAGAAGGTGTTCTATGTGGTTTCCATTCATTATCACACATTTTAAATTAAAAAAATACAAATTTCTACAATGTTTGTACGTCATCGATGGATGTTGAATACATCAAGATCTTTAAATAATAAACATTGCCCTCTTCTTATATCTATTAGTTGTGTTATTTCTGCAGCGTAGTAAGATTTGACTGTTAGTCATTATCAGGTATCGACGATGTACAAACATTGTAAGAATTTGTATTTTTTATTTAAAATGTGTGAAAATGAATGAAAACCACATAGAACACCTCCCATAGTAGGTATACAAATATACAATATTTATATGGTAGATAGTGTACACACCATACTGAGTAAAAAACCTTAGTAAACATAGATCGAAGCTCAACCATTTATGAGATATAAACATATTTATGTCACACGAGCATGGAAAGTGGCGGCCCATTACGCACGCGACGCGTGCGTGATAGACCACTTTCCACGCACTTGGAACATAAAATAGGGTGTGTAACACGTGTGTTAAGTTGAAAATTGGACGTGCGGGTAATCGAACTCGCCTCCGGCTCGTGCGTTCACTCCGCACGTCCAATTTCCATCTTACAGCACTTGTTACACAAATAACTATTATATATTACTACCATGACTGACTTACAAGGGAACACGCCGAATCCAAACTATTTGATTATGTGGATACGTAGAGTGACTCAATACATGACTAATGGTATGCTTCATTTACTCTATTGCCCTTTAAAAATGATTTTCAACCTAAAACTCAAAAGAGCGCTTCCACTTTTTCGCGTATAACTCTTAAACTGCAAGAGATAATTAAAATCAAAATTTTTTGCTTACATAGCTACAAACTAAAGAAAAAAGGTCGAAATATTTGAGAAAAAAAATCGTGTTTTTTGTTTATAATATTGTTAATAACTTTCTATTCCGCGTTAATTTTGCGAAGCAAAATAAATCCCATGCACTTATAGCACCTCAAATCAAAGCGATTCATGGTGGTTGCAACCTGGAAAGATTAATTGGACGATTTGATGTCTAATATGACTGGCCTAATTATTCATCTATTTAAATAAATTTTTAATGTAAGTTAAACATATAAAAAAGTAAATACATGTTTTGGCGTTTGTTCCGACACTCAAATGACAATGGATCGGCGCATTTAAATTCAAATCCTATATTGCAGGATCCGAATTCTACTAGGAACAAATCTTCTTCCATTTTTTTACATTTTATTTAAGAAATTAATAATAAATGAAAATTAATTAATTTTTTAAATATTTATTAAATTTTATATTTATTTGAACCAAATTGTTGTAAAAACATAAAAAAAGCTTCCCTAGATAATTAACAAATATATAAAAGGTAAAATCTACAATCATAATATTCTTTTAATAATTTGTTTGAAAATACTATCTGATTAAATATTTTTCGATCATTAATAAATTTAGAAGGATATTCTGAATATTCTAACGTGCTGTAATAATAACAGAGTGTCAAAAAGTCCAGAACTGTCGAATATTTAAAAAAAAATACACGAAAAACTTTTGTAAACAAATGTTTTAGGGTTAAAAAATGTATCAGTTGGTGACCTAAAATGGACCTTGAAAAGTTGCGTCAAGGTCAACTTGAAAATTTTAAATAGAAACTCCCGTTTTTATTGCATATTATTCTTGTAGCTAATCTCAAATTTCTTCAAAATGTGTGTGTGCTATAATTTAATCTTCTTTAATGAAGACCTTCTTTTTTTTTTTTTAATCAAACAGATGATATAGGTCTTCAAACTTTCAGTATACCGCCGGCATTAGCATTATCCAAGGTATAAGTACAGCTTTATAGCGGTTGTCAGATTCACACCTTTTGTATGTATGGGGGGGGGAGTGCGCGCGCTCAGTGAATAGTCGTAATTTTTTAGATAAAACATTCAATGGGCAATGGATTGATAGAAGAGGTAATACAATAATTATACTTACTTCTGTTAGGAAGTTTCTCTAAAAATATTATATTTTAACATATTTAAAGTCATTATCTTTCAAAAGATATTCACGCTTTTTTTCAGGTACATGTTATTTCTTAATAATTATAATTACGGCAAATTTTATATATAGGTAATTTTTATAATTTTAAAATATTGAAAAATTGTCGAAAGCTGATAACGTATATGGAATATATAATAAATACCGTGAATATTTGATATCAAATAATGACAATTTATAATATCTATACCGAAAAAATACGTAATGTAGGTAACTTTTTTCTGATCAAGTGGATACGCAAATAGATTTAGCCTTTGATGGCGACATTTTTACGCATCTCTATTATACACTTTTGCTGTTTCGTTTTGCCGAATGGCGCACAAGCAAGTTAGAAGTCATGGTCGGTGAAAGTATGGGCGATTACGTTCCAGGTGTGTGTGTGTGTGTGTGTGTGTGTGTGTGTGTGTGTGTGTGTGCGCGCGCGCGCGCGCGCACGTATGTGTGTGTACGTATGTGTATGTATATACGATATACAAGTATATACACGTGCACATTGATATATGCACGCGTGGAATGCGGGTGGATATGAATTGGTTGATAAAGCTGGCCTAAGCCAATAATCACTATACTTTTCAAATAAATCCATTTGTTATTTATTTCTTATTTTTACAAAATAGATAGATGTGTACTAATAATGTTCTTTCTGTGTAAAATATATCGAAAATAATTTATGCAAATCATAAATAACAGATTCCAATATGTTTATGTACAGATTCATGTAGAGTAACTGACATAACTGTGTGCCAAATTTCAGGATATATTAAATGTACAAAAAATAGTCACTGTACAGTAAGGAAAAACCATTATAAAGTAAAAATGAGTATTTGTAGGTGACGGCAATAAACATCAGATATTAAAACCAACTTCATTTTTTTATCAAGTAATAAGTAAAAATAAGGTGGACTTTTTGTGCAACACGGTTAACAGCGCGTAAATTAACGTTATATCAATCTTTAATAACTAGTGGGATACATAATTATACATCATACGTTTCGGCTCTGCCTTGAGCCATCATCAGCGATGCGGTAACAATTAAATCAAAACAAAACTGGATATACTTTTTGCAGATTTCAATTCTCTTCTAATCATTTTACATACAAAAATGTTAAAATCATACAAAAAGAAATCAATAATTTATAAAATATATTATATTATATTTTTGATATACCTATTTTCAAATAAAATGTAAAATAGATATCTAAGATATTAATTTTTTAACTTTGCTTTAATGTTTTTGTGCAAGAAATGAGATAAATTGATTGATAGAAAAACAAAGTTTTTAAATGCAATTACGTATTTTTTATATTCGTTGCGATTTGATTTTTTTTGTTTCCCTCACTGTGTCTCCTATTTAATTTATTATTTTTAAATTCTCCAGTTATACCTTCTTGCTGATATTCTTCACATTATATTTATTTTACGTTTTAGGTATTCATTTTTTTTAGATTATATTTAGGTACTATATTTTAGATGTTCATATGTTTTTTAATAATTAAATATCGTTTTTCATGTAATTTAGCATCCAAATTTTTTTAATTAATTGATAAATGATGATTAACACAATATATAAAATTAAAGACAGGCAAATGTATAGAACTAAAGTCCATCTAACGATAGATTATGGTTGGTTCTGCGCATAGGCGAGCAAAGTGGGAGTAAAGTCCCTAGAGCGTGGCGTACCGTATACGTAAATAGATGTTCTGTGGACGGAGACCTATGCGAAACGAACGAGTTTTCGTCCGATCCAACCATGATCTCTCGTTGGACGGAGTATATAGCGAATATACTTGTATTAAATGCAAAGTAAACTCTGATAGATATTTATATATAAAGAAAAACGCTAGTTTCTTTATTGACAACTACGTACATTTTTATGATAAATCTAGAAAGACCACGCACGAATCGTTGGTAGGAATTGTAAAATATTCTTTTACATTCTTGATTTGTGATATTTTTTTATACATATATATGTATAATTGTATATGTATATACATATAAAGATAGAAACATATTATATATTTACATGATAATATTTTTGAAGAATAGATTAATTTATGTTACAATTTCTCCAATTTGTACTGTTTTCTTTCTGAAATAAAATTTGAATTAACATTTTTAATACATTTTAAATTGATATAAACATTGATATATATTTAATAATATTTTAGGAATGAAGAACAATAATTCTTCGTAAACTAAGTTCTAGAAAAGAAAATAATAACTCATATTCTTTAATTTCAGTTTAATTTAAATTTAAACTTTAATAAAAATTTGGCTCAAAGTTTAGTTATAAAGATATATATGATTAGAAATTAGTAAGTCGTGATTAACAACGATTCTTTTTAACACATTTTCGTTAAGAAAATATTATCCAAAGAATCTATTAGTATTTAAAAAATAATTTAAAATCGGATAAGACATCCTAATATGATAAAACAAGTCAATTGATGTAATATGATTTAATATATTATTGTTTTAAAAAACCATTAATATTATTGCATTAATTTTTGTCTGTCATTATTTTCGTAAATTGCGTTGAACGTTTCTCGTATTAAATACAAAGTAAGCCGATATATATGCATATAAAGAGAAACGCAAGTTTCAAGTTTAGATTGACAACTACATTTCTACGCTAAACCCAGAAAGACCACGCGCGAAACGTTGCCGGTTTTAATATTACTTAGCAAGGTTTCCATGTTGGTTAGTACCTCTCTGTCACGACGTAGCAGTGAGCGGCCTTGACTCTGGCTTTCTTGGTGAATGTCTATACAAGCGGACGCACACAGCCACTCGTGTCCTCCTTGTTCTCTTGTCTTACCTAACAAATGGCGAGTTTTTCCCTCTCTATTTCTCCCACCGCGTTGTGCTGTGCTCAGCCGAGAGATGAAAGCTAAAACGGGCCAGTGAGCATCGCTTCGTTTCCTTCCAGAGATCAGACTAGTTAAGCGACCGTGTGAAAAGAGGAAGTGGGAAAACATAGATGTGAGTCTGTACGAAGGGAGAGAAAAAAAAGATTCGCGTGTAAGAATCATTAAAAAATACTTGTTTTCATAAATACATATTTTTAGCAGGATGTTTATTTAAACTTTAGAAGAAATACCTATATTTATAAAAACTTCTTAATTTTCTAAGTATCTTTACATAAAAACAATTGAATAAGATACAAGCCATTTTCGGTCTAAGCTTTGATCTTAGGCAGCTTAATATTAATTTTTCCGTATATATGTATTATTAATAACACATATATATATTCTAACGTTTTACTGTGCGCCGATCACAGCCAGACTTGAAACACAGTTGTCGTTGGAACATTAAAAACCCTTTCCCTCCCCACAATTAAATTGACACGATTCTTTATAGTTTAACGACAACTGTGTTTCAAGTTCGGTTGTGATTGGCTGCACGCCGATACTGCACGTAAAACATTGGAATATATATATATATATATATATATATGTGTGTTATTAATAATACATATATACGGAAAAATTAATATTAAACTGCCTAAGATCTAAGCTTAGACCGAAAACGGCTTGTATCTTATTCGATTGTATTTCATAGCGGTCTTGTTTTCTCTTATTCTTTACATAAAAGTTCCAACTTAAATAAATTTTATGCAAATTTAAGATAAATTTTATTATTTTAGGAATTTTCTTCTTAAGGAACTTTTTGCTACTCATATCAATCACAGAGAAAAAGATAATGAACTATTTTCGAATCACATAAAAACCATTAAAAAAACTTTTATAAAATAACTATTTTATATATTTTAAATATTTCTACTCTTTTCAAGAACTAAAATAATAAAATAGAATTTCCATATATAATAATAAACAAAATATCATAAACATAAAAAAAATCTGTTATAAGCTTTTAAATATTAAAGGATTATAGAACTCTAGAAATTTCAAAAAATCGAAAAATTCTTTTTATTTTGCATTAATTTAAAGCCACAAAAATACACTAATAACTTGTATTTAAAAAATCTTTAAAAATTAAAAAAATTACGTCCACTGTAATAAAATATATATTTATAAAAATAATGATCACATGATCAAACCCGGTTTATCTAATTAATTTGAAGTTTTAAAAAGTAACACTTTTAATAATGTTGCGTATCATGCACTAAGGCTTTTTTTATATTTAATTCTTTTCTTAAGTAATAACAAAACAAAAAACAAAATTTTTCAAAAAAGATACAGGTTTCACGTTTTGTCCACCCAAATGTGTCCAGTTTCGAAAAAAAAAACAAAAAAAAATAGAATTTATAAAAATTTTATCCATAAACCGAAAATGACAAATACAAAGTTAAAAAATGCCTACTTTTTTATTTCAAATAATTTATTGTAGCTAAAATCTTGCGGCACGTATGGACTGTAATGATTATTTAGGATGCCATTGTTGTTTATTATTTTAGTGTTTTTGTTACAATTTTGCACGTTAATTTTAAGTATATCTTTCAAAAAACTATTTACCTATCTTTTTAAATAAAAATTTTATATGATGTTGAAAAGTATTCTATTTTTTGGTTTGCTATTCTCCTACACTTTAAAGAGAAATTGTTTAAAATAAAATAAAACTTTTTAAAAAATATTATATAATCAAAATTTAATTTAGAAAATCTCAAAAATATAATGCTTTTGAAAAATATATTTAATATATAATTTCAGCAATTAGCAAATAGAAGTTTCGAATAAGCAATAAAAATATGATTCTAAACTCTTTGAAAATTCTTTAACTTCTCTAAACAAAAAATGATCTAAACAGAAAAAATTTAGATTTTTCAAAAGTTTTCAAGTAACAGCCAACATGCCTCTGTAATAGGTACATTGTTTTCTTATTTTCTTTTTAGAGTTCTATTCATTAACTTATTTATACCTAACAAAAATAACACCAATAACACCAATATATTACAATATTGTAATAAACTCCTTATATTGTTTTGGTGTTATAATATTTTAACGCAATAAAAAAAAAATAAAAAACAGAAAAATCAGTTAAATGTACATGGTAAGATTTGTTACATAGGTAACCAATATTAAAAAAACTAACTAATTTTGCAGTCACATTTACAATGCACATTAACAGTTATATTGCATTTACGGATACGTTATCTTGCATAAGCATGATGTTCGTCATCTTATCCGCAGTCATTGTATTTATTTTTTTTATTTAATAAAAATGTTGCAATGCAAAAAATAAAAAATTCTAGTATGTTATTCTATACATTTTTAGCTATACTATACTGTAATTTCATAAAGAAAGTGAAAGTATTTACCATAATTATGTCATTCCTTATAAACAAACACTAAAAAATTACATATGGATGCACCCAAAATGTATTTTCATTATATTATCTGCTTTTGTAGACAAATTAAAATCAAACTACAAGAGATTATGTGCTATTATCTAAACCCTTTAATGAATTCAGCATCGACTCGTTATCTGTTATTAGTTTAGAAAAATTAGCAATTTCTCATCTTACCCACTTCGTCATCTTACTCCCCTTCCCCTACTTTATGTAAGTATTTAGTAAGTAATTTCAAATTGAATATCATCTATCATATCTTAATTAGAATTTTAGATACTCAATGAAATCTATGTTACCTATATCTACTACCTACTTTGAATTTTTAAGTTTAATTATCAAGAAATAATTTTTAAAAGATATTAAAATACAGAATATAAAATACTTTTGCATACAAATATATTTCTTATATTTTTGCTTCCTCATAGAAGAAGCTTTGTTTTCATAAACCTCTTATATGGACCTTTGATCGCATATAAAGCTAATAGGTCTAATTAACCAAATGTTAAAGAATTATATATGAAATAGGGATAGAAAAGACCGAAGAAAAAATTGTTTTTTTAGTTTTCGATGCCAATGTGTTCAGAATGTTCTACAACATCGGAAAATCGTAATTTTAAAAAGTGTCCATATGTGTGTATGTGTGTTGTGTGCCAAATTTACCGAAATTTCTATAACTCAAGAACTGATTAACTAAATCTTAAAGAATTATATATGAAATAGGGGTCGAAAAAACTGAAGAACATAATAAAATTAGAAAAATTGCTAATAATAAAGAGGTTACCAAAAAAAAATCTACCTGATTACTTTAATTTCCGCAAATTTTGAGATATCAAGCTTAATTTTTTTTTATGGATAAAGTATCAGTAAAAGAAGGTTGATGTTGAATTTAGCACGGATTGGTGAAGAGGTTACCGATTTTTGCCTAAAAAGTGTACAAGTTATGCGTAAACTTATATGTATATAGAGTATCATTAAGGGAAGGTTGTTCTGAATTTGGCGAGGATAGGTGAAAGGGTTACGGATTTCTGCTTAAAAAATGTAAGTTATTTGATGGATAGAATATCATTTAAGGAAGGTATTGAATTTGGCGAGGATCGGTGAAGCAGTTACCGATTTCTGCTCAAAAAATTACATGTATAAGTTATACATGTAATTTTATATAGAGTATCATTAAAAAAAGGTTGGTATTGTATTTGGCAATAATCGGTAAAAGTGTTCTTTCTTTATAAAATTTAGAATTTTTTGAGAAATGTCCGTGGTTGCTCTAACTTCCGCTAATTTTGAGATATCAGGCTATTTATAATTCTATTATATTCTTCAGTCCTTTCTATTCCTATTTCATATATAATTCTTTAAGATTTGGTTGATTAGACCCAGCTTTATACGCGATTAAAGGTCCATATGCGAAGTCCATATTGGACCATGTAGCCTGAACTTCCCAAGTTAACATCGATTTGACATTGCGTCGATTGTAAAACCACTTCACTTGTGCTACTAAGCTCTATCAATTCATAAAAAGATTAAATTTAAAATTAAAAAAGTGTGCAAATTAGAAACTTGCACATTGCTTCCTCATCATTACAGATCGCTACTAAAGCTTCCTCTATGAGGAAGCTAAAACAAATAAATACTAGGGTAGACCGGGGCACATTGTCACACATTTGGTTCAATATTATTTGTATTTTTTACATTCAATATTTAAGAGTACTTTGATATGCCAAAATTTCGAGTGAACCCTCAGCTTCAATTGGACAGTATCGAATTTTGTGTGATTGTTACTCTACAGTTGTTACGTAACAATAAATAACGACAGGTCGCTTGTGACAACGTGCCCTGTGACCGGGGCACGTTGTCACATCAAATGTAATTGCATGCAAAATGTTATACAAACTGTATTCAACGTAAATATCAATATATTATAGTGCGCTGCAATGTAAAAAAGTAAAATCCTTCACAGAAACATTTATTTTATTTCAAATAAGTACTAAAAGCACGAAGTTTTCGTCTTAATCTAAATACAAGAATTCCACTCGAATGCGCAACTCATTGATACACATTTAAACATAAAATATGAAACATAAAATATTTTTACTCGTTATCGTCATCCAAAGATTCGCAATAGATTCCCATCAAATTCGTGACAACGTGCCCCGAGGGCATTTTTTTACTCCAAACAGCCTCATGGCCGACACGTTTGAGATATTCATAAGGTTAGGTATTGCACGCGGTAGGTAAAAGTACATACTTTAAGATAATATAAAGGTCTATTCTGAAAAAACATAAGTCCATGTCTGCCAACTTCATGTCCAGTACGTTAAATATTAGACAATAAAATTTTACTTATGGTCGCAAAAAACTTTCAAGTTGATTTTACGTCAACACGGCTGGAGCAATCTCAACACTGTAAACACACCAAAGATGGGCATACACTAACACGTTTTGGGAATGACGGGTGCTGCCCTCTGGTTATTAGTTTTTTAAATAAAGCCGATGTGACAACGTGCCCCGGTCTACCCTAATAATTATGCATCGAATAAAATACAAGCTTCCTCATAGAGGAGCTTTGTGAGCAAAATAAAATAGAAGCAATGGTAGCGATCTGTAATGGTGAGGAAGCAATGTGCAAGTTTCTAATTTGTTATATTTTATATGTATTTTAACCCTTTTTGGTGACACT